GCCTGGAGCGTTGTTGTCATGAATCCGCTCATTGTTGCCAGGTCTGTGCTCATTGCTTGCTAGTGGTGGCGACGTGAACTGCCATTTTTCCAGGAGCACCTCTTGAATATAGCCCAACTCCAAATTCTTGTCCAACGACATTTTGTCGTTTAGTCCCAGCAGGAAGTCTGCAGCTACTCCCGGTTCCACTATCACATTCAAAAGCTCAGACGCCGAGTTATTCAAGAGGACTCGTAGTGGAATACAAGTTAATCTGACCGCTGGGAGTTCTGCCCAGTGAGGGTTTGGAATCCTGGCATCCACCAGGGGTACATAAAATTTAATACGTTTGCCTGACGGTGTGTCGAGAGTAATCTTTGGCATCATCTCTGTCTGAACCAGACGAAAGCAGAATCTGTCAACATACAGTTGCCGGACTCGGGCTTCAATCATGTCCGGACTCGGAGTACCGCAAAAGGGCGATGCTGGTAGGATCGTTTGCCCATCCCTGTGAATCAGTCTGAGTATGAAGGTTTCCTGTCCCAGCATCGTACACAACAAGAGTAACAAAAATTTCTCCTCGTATTGTTGGTCATCTCCCGTCCATGTCTCGACCCCTTTCGGACTCACGAATGTCCTCACTTCCTCTCTTGTCTCTTCCCTTCTCATTCCCGTACTCGAATGTTGGGACGAACCTGTAGGTGTAGCTCCTTCCCTGGTTGGAGCTTGCCGGTCAATTGCCACCTCTTTTTCCACCATCTCTCCTAAATGCCCTCCTGCGGCCATATCCTGCCTGGAGGAGTACCCTGTGCCCCCTCCGCCTCCGATGTATCGCTGATATGGTTGATTCATCCCCTGCATACCCGTTTAGCCTGCTCCCATCCACTGGTTAGGTGGCATGCCCCTCATCATCGACTGTTCCCACATTTGGTATTGAAGGGCTTGATTGAGATACGGATCTCCAACCATACCCGTAGGAGTCTAAGGAGCCATTGTGCCCATCCCTACTATTGGTGTGACGCCTCTGCATGTCCCTGTTGCATATCCTCCGCTTAGACCCGACGTTCCTCCTCCTCCCACCGCACTTGCATGTCCTTCCCCTATCCCTCCTGAGTTTTGTCGCCCTTCAGGTTGTGAAGATCTCCCTGGCCCCTGACTATTCTGCTCTCTACCTACTTCCTCCAGGTTTGGCTTCCTGGTTCCTTCTTGGTTACTCGGCATATCCCTGGCTGCATCTCTTATACCCCTTTCATACACAACCTCTCCGTGGTTGAAGCCCCACTGTCGAATGCGGTCTCCTCTTTGCCTCCCATTCGTTGCTTCGACCTCTCCTTTGTCAGCTCTAGGACAACCATCCGACTCAGTGTGGTACCACCAACGGCATCGTGTACACCACGGAGTGTTTTTGCACACAAATTCAACGTTGTACATTTCGCTGTCATCTAATTGCATTGAAATGGTCGGTTCAAACCGCTCTTCTGCTTCTCTTGCGAGTTCGAACTTCATATTCATCAGTTTTGGACGTGAGGCATCTGGTTCAGGAGGGTGCTGCAGAAAAAGTCCGGGATGTGGAACATAGGTCTCAGCGGCACACGAAGCACCGAGCCCCAAAATTTAGTTGTTTCCTCATTCCGTCTCCGTTTGTCTAGTTCCGCTCTCGTCATCCAGGGTTTGAATAAGAGTTTATATTAAATTCCCCGGATGACAATTGCGTCTTCTCCCTTCGCTATTAACCACTGTGCAACCTCTCTGGATTTGGCCACATAAGACATTACGTTCGGCCCCTCGCCATGTACTCTCCCTCGCTTAAAGCCTCTAGCGAGTTCTTCTGCGGAACCATCCGTTTTCATAGGCACAAACTAAGTCTTCCCGTACTTTCAGCGGTAGGTCGCGAGCAGCTCCTTGGAAAATTACCGTTACCGTACGCTCAGATGGTCTATCTGCGCGTTGACCTTGAAGACTCTGATCCCGTTCTTGATCACGAATTCTCCATGCCTTAGCCGCTCCGGAAAAACTCCGTCCTCATAACACTTGGCAATAAGTAACTGAATCCGGTCTTCATCTGACAGCTGAACCTCTATACCCGGCGGACCCCTCTCCTCTCTCTGTTCCTGTGGTTCCTGGGAGATCACCCTTTCACCTTGCTCTGCCATCCTAGCCTTTCTCTCCTTCCCCTCGTAAACGTCTCAGCGGCCGGCGCCTATTCGGCGCACCAGTATGACTTCTTCTCGTCAACTATACCAACACATGGACTTAACTCACGCGTAGCTACGTAAAAGAACACTCAGATAGGCCAGGCAGCACTTCGTCTAGTCTCCCTTCCCCGTGGGTCAGTTGCTCGGATATTGCTGAGCGAGACGACTCAGCTCACACGATGGCATCGTGTTGGTGCCGTACCGCGAGTGCCTGGACCGATCGTGGCCGCGGGTTCTAACCCTACCGCTAGCAGACCTCCGGTCGATAGCGCTAACTTGGAGTGCTAAGGCGCCGACCGCCCCCATAATTGCATTTGAATAAACCAGATGATGTGCTTTTGAAAACAAAAAGGAAAAAAAACGAAACAAAACTCGGAGGCGCCGCGCGCCCAGGCCTGCCTTTGAAAAAAAAAGATCGGCGGCCTCCGAAGTGGTGCGGGTTTCGTGCTGCCACCCGCGGGCCGATATGTGGTGTACTGGGGGTATAAATAAACGCAACCCTGACGGCTGCGAACACCCTGGACCTATAAAAAAAAACCAAAAAAAAAACTGAGTGCGTAGTACAACAGCGCCGCACTTGAGTTTTTAGTCCAGTGGTGTAGTGGGACGGCGCCGCACGTGGGTTTTAAGTCAAGTGCAGTGTAGCGGAACGAGGCCCCAGGCCTTCCCTCGTCCGATCCGCCAGTCCACCTTTCCCGCTCGTTTTCTCAAGGGCGGTTTCTAGGTTAGGTGGAACGAGAACTGTGTTTAGTCGATTCGGCCTCTACGGCCATACTTATCTACAGTTACATGTCTACCATGCTGGCCCTGAGTCCACCCGGCCGAAAATTAACTCTCCAGCAGACGGCGCCTAACTTTCCGTCCATGCCACAAATCGCAGCACGTTTTCCCTCGAGGCCATCCGACCCAAAATTGAACCATTTCCCGACTTGTGCGTGTCATGGTGGCTGAGGGGCATGCTACTGTTGTCCGTATAGTTCCGAAGGACGTTTCGATGTTCTTGCAGGCCCAACGGGAGGTGATATTCGGCCGGGGTGAGATATGTCGCACTGCCACGCGGGGTGTATTGGAGGCAGGCCTGGTTGCGGTCATGGTGAATGACTCTTGCATTTCCCTCCCGTTCTCGCGTCCTTGCGTCGAAGGAAGAAGGAAGAAGAAACGGAGGCCGACGCGAACGCGTACTTACTTCGAGGAAGCAAGAATCTCAAGGCAAACGCCTACCGGTAGCTGTTAGCTATTCTCGAGGTCCTTCGTGTGGATGTGTTCCTGTGTCCCCACTCCGTTGAGAGCAGGCACAGATTTTCATTTTAACAGAAGGTGACAGCTATAAATCGTGACAGCCAGAAAGATGTCCCGGAGTTCCCGAGGTGGGAGCCAGCTGGAAAGACGCGGCCGCCAGATAGCGGGAAGGAGACCGACCTGAGCTGAGGTCAGGCAGCGCCGAGCCGACTCAGTGTCTCGTGCAGTGTAGACAATCCAATGTCATTCCAGCCCAGCCCAGCCCAGCCCAGCCCAGGGCAGTCCAGCCGAGCCCAACTGAACACACAGCCGAGGGGAACACAACTAGCGAACGCAACCAAGCGAGCGGGGCGCAAGCACAGCCTGGGCAAGCCATCGGTACCCCGACAACCATCCGATCAAGGCAATGACGGCTTTGGATTTTTATCCTGTTGTTTGAAGAAGAAGATTTTGTTGTTGTCACCTACAAGTCACAGGGATGCGGACGCGTGCCGCCTTGTTGTGATTTTTTGCGTCGCGTTACTGCGGCTTCTATTTTGGCATTTTGGTCCAGCTCAGCGCCATCAGCTTGTGACCATATCAGCGGCTTGTTCCTCCAATTAGGGGACACGAGGAGAGTGACCTCCCTCTTCTCCTCCCCCTTTGTTCACTCTCTCCCTCGCTCGTGACCTGTGCTGGACCTGTCGCCGACGAACCGCCGGCCTTATCCTCGACGTGTCTTCCCCGTGACATGTCGATGTTTCTCGTCTTCTTTAAAAGTAGCGCCTCTTCGCCATATTCGGGTTGGGGAGCTCGGCGGTCTAGCTCTGCGCTTGACGCATGTGGTCGTGCGAGGGTCTCTTTTTCCAGTTTGTCCATGGGGGTGTGCGTATTGACTGTAAAGGTAGATGCATAACTAGACACGAATGAGAGAGAGATATATGTACATATACGCTCATACAAGAGAGAGAGAGAGAGAGAGAGAGAGAGAGAGAGAGAGAGAGAGAGAGAGAGAGAGAGAGAGAGAGAGAGAGAGAGTCTTGTTGGACGCTGTCCAGCTGACGTCGTAGATTGAACAATCTTTTCGTGCGTCTGTGTTGTTTGCGTGTGTGTGTGTGTGTGTTGTTTGTGTGTGTGTGTGTGTGTGTGTGTGTGTGAGAGAGAGAGAGAGAGAGAGAGAGAGAGAGAGAGAATTCCTCGTCTACCGTTCTATGCAATACACATCGTGTTTGACAAGACTTGAACTATTGATCTATTTCTATCAAATCAACGGTTACATTCGTGTGTATCTTTTAGCACGCCAGGTCAGGTAGCTGCCATCGCCCCTCTTCTTCTTCTTTTTTCTTTTTTGTATGGCCCGACGGACCACAGATCAGATATTAAACTGATCAGAAGAACAGATACTACACTTGATCTATTTTTAGCCAAAAGGCCGAGAAAGGTATACCCCTCTTCCTTTCCCATTCCATCATCGGTTCGAATCTTTTTTTTTTTTAATTGGTTCGAATCTTGGTTGGTAGGGGCTGTGGAAAGCAACCGCATTCCATTTGAATTTCCTCCTCCATCTCAGAGGCTCAGAGGAGTCAGATCGGAATAATTATGGTCTACCGTCGAAGGGCAGTCGTTTCAAAGAACAGTTTCTGATTAATCCAAAAAAANNNNGTGAGAGAGAGAGAGAGAGAGAGAGAGAGAGAGAGAGAGAGAGAGAGAGAGGTGTTTGCGGAGAGGCGAGGGTTCGCGGGTGGTTATTGGGTAGGGTGTGGGAGAAAGATCTAGATGCAGGCGTTGTCCGGGGCAGGAAGGGTTTTGTCGAGTAACATCGAATCGTTCAAAGACTTTCTGGACTGTACGAGTCTGCGGGTGAGCATGAGTGATCCGTACCTGGACGTGCATCTCCCGCGTCTGAGGTGTCCTCGGGCCGGTGGAATACGAAGTCCTTGTAAAAACGATGGTTTGTGTCCTGCGCGAACGCCACGGCGTCGATACGGTCGCCTTGCTGCCGGAGCGGCCGTTGCCCTCTTCACACCTTACCTGACATCTGCTATTGCTTGCCAAGGCTTTCTGTATTCTGCAAACTCGTCCCCCTCCTCCTCCTCTTCCTCCTCTTATCCTTTCGCTTGTTGGCCTTCCCAACGCTCTCTTCTGCGCAGCAGCAGTAAAGGCGCCGGAGCCGCCGCCACGAACTCAGACCTGCGTCCCCTGAGAAAGCGCAGGGCTTCGAAAATCTCCACGTCTGCCGGCGACCGAGACGGCGGCGACGCCGTCGATTGGGATGACGAGGAAACGGAGACGGTACAAGAGGCTCGCAGCCTTCAGCTCGGTGACACCGTTGATGACGAAGATGCGGATTTCGACGATCAGGATGATGATGAACTCAAGCGCGTGCGCGGGGCGAGTGCGGAACGCAGCGAGTCGGTAATAGAAGAGCTGCTGCTCTTCTTCTTCCAACTGGATCTGGGCACTCGTCTGCAGCGTGCGCTGAATCAAGACCAATACGAGGCGGCGCAGCAGTTGAGGGAGAAGATAGCGGAGGTGGAGAGGGAGGTGGCGAGGCAAAGGGCGAGCAAAGCGGGGGCGGCGGGGGGGGGAGAGGTGGGAAGTGAATGGGCCGGGGTAGGGGGGAAGGCGGCGGACCAGACATTGGCGGCGCTGCGGGTGAGATCTGACTTGCAGAGAGCCATCGACGAAGAGCGGTACGCGGATGCCGCGAGGCTGCGCGATCGTCTCCGCGAGCTTCAAGCGGAGTCGTTGGCCATGTCGGCGCAATCTTTGGCCGGTAATGGGGTGACCTTTCGCTTCCGTTTGGGCCAGAGAGTCCGCCATGCGCTCTATAATTATCGCGGCGTCATTTGTGGGCTTGACGCGGTCTGTTACGAGAGCGAGGAATGGGCCAAACGAGCTGGGATTGCCAAAACGCAACGGGGAAGGAACCAACCTTTTTATCACGTCCTCGGTGACATGGGCGAGACATCGGGCTTCATAGTGACGTACGTTGCAGAAGACCGTCTCTTAATCCCACCATCGCCAGAACTCGAGGATTTTGAGCATCCGTACACGTATTTGCTCTTCTATGGAAAAGACAAGATGGGGGACTATATCCCGACGAAGCAGTTGAGGCAGAAATTCAATGCGCCGCGATACGAAGTGAAAGACGAGGATCGGGGTCGGGGTCGGAGTAACCCGAGGGAGCGAAGGAATGATGATGACAACGAGGAAGAGGACAGGGGGAGAGGACGGGTCGTGGAGAACAGCGAAGAAGACGGCCGGAGCGCAGAGAGCGGTGACGATGACAGCGACAACTCGTCGATATCGGGTAGTGGCAGCGGGATGTAAATAGCCAATGACCTTTTTTTTGCTAGAGAAGTTCCCTTCCTTACTCTTCTGGCCTTGCTCCTGCCGTATGTTTCTCTCTCTGTCTCTCCTACTCTCTCTCAGTTCCTTTCTTTCTTTCCATGTTCTGCCTCTTCTCCTGCTCGCCTATGCTGTCTTCATTCACACAATTGGCTCTATTGTATCTGCATTTGGGCCCCTTCGTCCCCGCCCCTCTCCTACCTCTACACGTTCCTTGGCAACCCTCACGGCGAAGGTATCTGACATAACTTGGTTCTCTTTTGATTTTTTTCTCGGTTTCTTGTTTTCTTGCTGCCTCCTCTTTCCTCTTTGCTTCGTTTGCGTCTCTCCTCTTCCCGGCCGCGTCCCCTCTGTCTGTTTCTCTCTCCTCTCCCTTTCTCTTTCTCTGCTTGCCTCCCAGTCCCCCGATTTGTTTCGCCACGCCCTTTGTAACACGTGGGAGGTACAGCTGTAGACGTTGTTGGAGCTTCCGTGTCTTTTCGTTGGTTGGCTGTCTGTATGTATGTGTATGAATTCGCACTTGCGTGTCAGGAAAACAGAGAGAGAGAGAGAGAGAGAGAGAGGAGAAGGTTTGGGTTGTTTTAGCATGGAAGTATATAGAGACCTATTTTGTAACTTTACGGGCGGGTGTACCAATATTCGGGAATAGGGGAGAGGAGGGAGGGGGGGGGGGGGGGGCGGCTTTGAATGGCGCCGCAGTTTAGTATGAGCGCCGTTCCTGAGGCTCTTGATGGTTGAGAGAGGACGATTATTTGGGCTTCTTGGAAAAGCAAGGCGGGATTTCTTGATAAAAGCAGCAAATGGTAAACGGCCCATCCTGGACCAGGACGGAGCCTCGTGATTACGGACAAGATTGAAGAAGCATATCGATCTGGGGAAAAAGCGTTCATGGGATATCTACGTATTTGTCTCAATTCGATGAATGATGCACTGTTCTTTTGATGGGCAAAAGCAGGGGGAAGACGAGAAAGAGGGAGGATGAGGAAAGGAGTGAGACGCGGAGAAGCAAAAGACAGACACACACGGGGGGGGAGGGAGAGAGAGAGAGAGAGAGAGAGAGAGAGAGAGAGAGAGAGAGAGCTTTTGATTCGCACCGATAGAAGTGAGAGATACTTGTGTGTGTGTTGATTATGGATGGAGTTTTTTTTTGGGGGGGGGGGGGGGGGGGGGGTTTGGGAAAAGGGGGAAGAGGGGGGAAAAAAGGGGGGATGGGGGGGGGGGGGGGGGGGGGGGGGGTTTAGGAAAGAAGGGAAGAAGGGGGAAAGAATGCAGGATAGTGGGGGGGGGGCGGCGGAGGGGGCTAGTGCCGATTGCTGTGCCGATGGGAAGGGCAAGGTATAGATACACAGGAGATCGAGATAGAAATGATAATGGTGATGGTGATTATGAGCGGAGTAGTTTCACCGTTTTACGTGTTAGTGAAGGGGGGTTTGTGCAGGATTTGACTTTTCTGACAACGATGACGAGTAGTTGATGAAGATGGAGATTTTGTGAAGCTTCTGAATGTGATTTTTTTTTTTTTTTTTTTTTGTCGAGGTTACTCGGTTTTTCCAAAAGGTTAAGCGTCACACATTCGCCGCTTTGACCGGGGCGTAACCCGCGAGCAATTTTTTTTTTCTTCTCTTTCTTAAATTTCGTCGCCCGTTTTCTGTAAGGTGGCAGATTTCTGCTCTCCATTATCCAACGATTTACTGATTTGTTAAGACCCTTTTTTTTTTTTCCATTCTTTTTTACCGAGCATTGACGATTCCTGTAGTAGGAAAATTGCCTTCGCACGCTTGCCCGCCTTTTGCTTTCTCCCTTTGCGCTATTCGCGTCCCGAACTCTCGTTTCTTTCGTCCCTCAAATCGCTAGCTACCGTTCAATCGCTTGCTGCAGGTCAATCCCAATCGTTCGCTACAGTCTCTGATTGTTATTGCCGAAAAGGGAAACTGGGCGCGGTGCTAGGGGCGAGGCTTTCCATTAATATTGCCGAAAAGGGAAATCGGGGGAGGGGTTAGGGGTTGGTGTTGGTGGGTGAGCATTAGCTAATGGTCACCCAGGAGGGGAGGCTTTCCTGCCGGCCTTCACGGCCGAGGAGGGGAATTCGTTAGGAGAAACGGGGTAGGGGGCGACGATTCAAGTCGCTGACTGTTTAATCTCTCTCTATACAGCAGCCTCTCTACGTAAATTTCTCTGCTCTCTGCTCTCTTCTCTCTAATCGCTCTTTTTCGAGCAGCATAACGTCAGGGCGCGCGGGATGGTAGGGAGTGGAGAAGTGGATGGATGGTTGATTGATTGCCTTATGGTCGATTTCTTACGCGGCGTACGCGTTCATGGAGTTGTGGTAACCGTCACCAGGACTACGTCGTCGTCGTCTCTCTCTCTCTCTCTCGCCCCCCCCCCCCTACCGCTCTCTGCTGTGATTCTGATAGCTTTTCTTGACGATGGAAAGGTGGTTGAGACGATAAAGGTTGAGAATCTCGTCCGATGCTGCAGGGAGTCCCCACTTCTTTTGTGTTCTCTCTATGTTAAACCGACTTTTTTCCAGCCATCTGATCTCTGTAAGTCTGTGCTCGAGCCTCTCTCATGGCGTGACAGAAATCATACGACTATGGGCGTATAATACTGTAATCAGGGTCTGTGCTGTGTGACATGCGGGAGGTCGCGTGTTCGATGCGTGGAGTTCGGGATTTCGGCCATGTGAAAACATCGCTACGCAGACATCATGGCGATTAGCTCTTCTTCTCTGTGACGTTCGTTGGTCTTGCCATACGACTTCTGTATAGGACTGCTGTGTGACAGCATAGCACTGCGTAACAACATGGTATAAGCAGTTTGCTTTTCGCTCACATCGTTATTTTGTATGAGATTCTGGCATGTGTTTTACCTTTGTAATAGAGCTTTGCTGTTTATCTCGTGAGCGGCTTGCTTGCCTTTCGCCATATCTTTTGTCCGTGTACGTACTTTCGATATCTCTCGTGTCGGTGTACGTACTTAATACCCATTTACGGGATGTCTTTTGAAACATGTGCCTCGCTCTCTCATGTATGGGTATATGGCGGGTACGATGGCGTCTCTCTTCCGTTTCTTTTCCTTTCTCTACCGGCCAATCAAGGGTGATGATGGTGGGTATATGGCGGGTACGATGGCGTCTCTCTTCCGTTTCCTTTCTCTACCGGCCAATCAAGGGTGATGATGGTGGTTGTAATGGCGCGTAGGGTGGCAGTTTTCTCGTCGTGGGAAACGGATTGCGTCATGCTATTGCCGCAAGGGGGAACAGACGGAACTGCAATTTCACGTACTGAGTTTGTTGTCCGAGTTTCGTCGTTCAATGTTTGGGAGTCGATGGATGGATGGATTGGTGTGCTCGACTCAAAGCTAGCAAGAGGAGAGGAAAGGAGAAGAGAAGAGGGGAGGCAAATGATTATGACTAGAATACTAGTCAGCGCCAGTGAGGTGCTACATGACGAGCGTCCAGGAGCGAAGAGGAAGGAGATACCGGTGCGCACCGCGTCTACCGTTGTCGCACTCATCCTCTTTTGTCGCGGTCATTGGAAGCGGGAAGGGCTGCGGCTCGACCACTTTTCCCTTTTCCCGCCTTGCCTTTTCCCATTTTGGAAGCAAGGGTTGGAGTTTACGCGATGCGATGCTGTGGAGTATCGGTGGTGGTGTAGCCAAGGAATTCCCTTGGGAATTCTCTTGCCATCTGGCGGGCTGGGATTGCATCCACGTGGCGGCGGGTGACGTGGTTTAGGCGTCATTGCTGAGCCGCCGAGCAATTACTATTGATTAGAGTTCCATGGAAACGGTTTTTCGTGGGTGCGAGAGAAAGGGAGTGTGAAAGGGAAGGGAACGGGCATACCCGCCACGCGTCGAAAGGCTCGTCAGACAGAGACAAGGTAGTGATAAGGTCCTTGGCTCCTGCTGGAGCTGGAGTGGTCTACTTCCCAAGTGTAGGTCTCCGACAGGACTTGATTGCTGGTGTGGAGGTGGATTGGGTTGCGTCTGCCTCCGCGTGTCAGGCGATTTCTCTCTCATCAGACAAAGAGACAACGTCTATCCTTCTGGGCGGATTGTGATTGGCGGCGGGGTTTGTGGTAGTGTAAAGGGGTTGGTTGGTTGGTTGGTTAACCCCTCTCGTACTTTGCTGGTTTCTATGTTCAAGGGCTAATCGTCCGATATGGTTTCTATGTTCAAGGGCTAATCGTCCGATATCTGAGAGATACACCTGTACAGTCTCTAGGATAATTTTTTTGACACGCGGCACTCGGCCACGTCAATCGCCGGCGGTACGTGCACGTGTCTTGGTGTGCTTCATCCACGTGGCCAAGAGTGATGAACAATGACGGACTGTGATCATTCGCGCGGGGAAGCGCGCGCGGTCCCGATTCTTGCTTGCGCACGGTCCGTCGTTGGAGTTGGAGCTGTGGGCAGCAATCATTTCGCGGGAAGCACGTGTCTTGGAGTTGGAGCTGTGGGCAGCAATCATTTCGCGGGAAGCACGTGTNCAATCATTTCGCGGGAAGCACGTGTCTTGGAGTTGGAGCTGTGGGCAGCAATCATTTCGCGGGAAGCACGTGTCTTGGAGTTGGAGCTGTGGGCAACAATCATTTCGCGGGACGGCGGCAGATGGCTCAATTAGGCTGACACGTGTCGCAGGAGGCGTACGCTAGTCGAGATGGTGCGGACAGTTGGCCCAATCGGTACTGGGATTGGAGAAGGGCGATGCGGGTGAAGAAAAAAGGCTGGGTGAAGAAAAAAAGGCTGTTTCTTTCTGTTTTTCTTTAAACGGGGAGCAGACAGGGGAGGCAGAGGAGCGGGGAGGGAAGAGAGGTCGGGGAGAGAAGAGGAGGGGAGAGGTTTCGCAACAATTTACCTTTCGGCGGGCCCCTGAAAGCAAAATGAAAGAAAGAGAAAGGGATAGTGAGCGAGCGATCGAGCGAACGAATTGTATGATGAGGTGTAGTCAAGTCAAATTGAAAGGTCGTGTTTCCCGCCTGTGGTAAATTCCCCGAATGGAGGATTAGCGAGGAGAGAGAGAGAGAGAGAGAGAGAGATCTGCGCGATGGCAGGGAGCTAGCTCGCGCGTTCTATGAGACTCTGTGCTTGCCTGATGTATAGGGCATAGCTGCAAACCTGTGCCGACTGTGGAGTGTACGTTTTTCGTGGAATCGGACTGAAGTCAGGTTCAGCGTCGTGTATTCCCTGCTGTCAATGCACAGAGATTGTGAAAGGGAGGTACTGTCATGAAGCAGAAGGATACTATTTCAGGCAATGTCCGAGTTCTACAGGTGTTAGGGCTTCTCTCTCTCTCTCTCTCTTTGTCTGTCTCTTGGTCTCTCTCTCCTCTCTCCTCTCCCCTCTCCCTCGGTCGGTCACTCGCTCGCTTGCTTCTTGTCCCTTCCCCTCTCATTCATTGTATCTTCCTTAGCTAACAGAAGTACGAGGGTTTAAGAGCGTAGTGACTTGTACGGATTTATAGGGTGCTCAGACCTAGCAGGTGGGAAAAAGAGAGAGAGAGAGAGAGAGAGGAAACAGGGAAAATAGGAAAATTAACGAACATAAAGGGCGCTCGCTGTGGCAAGCCGGTGGGTGCCTTGGTGGCTTTCATCGTCGTCTCCCTCTCCCAATTCTCCATCACTCCTCTGGGCTCTTGGTGCGTGGTGCTGGCTTGTCCGATTACCTATCTTGGCTGGACGAACGTAGGGCCTGCCCCTGCCCGCCCTCTTTCACCCCCACTCGCCCCCCCCCATCTAGCCATACGTGGTAGGCTGTGGCTCGCTTCGTCCCTTATCGCTCTTCACTAACTGGTAGTATGTACATATGTGTATATCCATTGGGATTTGAACTTGTCACGTCGTGGTATTTTTACGGTATTATCATCGTACGGAAAACAGACTGGAGGGATGCAACGTGGTCATATTTTTGGCTCTCACTCGATCGGGACACCGACCTCAGGAACTTCCCATGGGGGAGCAGGTGTACCCGTTCAGGCAGCGTTTCACATGGCCGGGCCTCGCTCGACTGCAGAACATTCAAAATGTATGGGGAGTTGTTAACGGTCCCAATGCATTCAGAATGTCGGATCAGTCCGAATGCATCTGGTCCTTTGCACCATCACATACGTGTAGGATGTTGTTCAGTAGCGGAGCGAGGCCCGCAATTTCGAGTCTAGATGGACCTACCAGCTTTCGTGCAACTCTCTCATAACCATGTAATCAGTAGGGGGTCAGTCAGCGAATGGGCCAAGTCCCTCTTACACTGATTTGAATCTTCTGGCTGTTGATCTTCGCAATCAGCGGCCAAAATCGAAGAATGCAGGGAAGTGGGTGGGACCACCACGGCCAATTGTTTATTGATCTGCATATTGAATAGATATGTGGAACTGGGACAGACCGGGTTCACCATCTGCTTTGTCGTTATTGGACTCGTTCTCTTCTTTCCAAGGACCACGTGGCAATCCTGTCCCCGTGTTTTGCACCTATAGACCTCTCTCTCTCCCCCTGTCTTCGGTGACATGTTCCCGATTAGGCGTGTCAACCCCGTTGGGTGGGCACGAAAGGTCGTTGTATACAATTGATTGCTAGCATAGCCAGCGAGAACGACTGATTACTCGGTTGAGTTGAGTTGAGTTGGGGGAAAGGCCTTCCATCTAGTAGAAATCGGTCAATTGACTGCCCTGCTAGAATCAATGGATATTTCTTTTTCTTCACCATCAAATCAATCGAGCTTATTTACCATCTCCGCCTGAGTATGCGAGTACGGTGACTCGTACGGTGACTCTGCTTAGTAAGTAGTGACAGCCCCACGGACAAGTTCTCCAGACCTTGCTTGCCTGGGGCCTGGTGACACTACTCGCGATACTCCCAGTTTGGTGAGCTGGTCCATGGTTCCACTAACCTGCCAAACTTGATGGGCAGAAACGTGCTAGCAATGTCAGCGACTTTGTTTTCTAACAATCCCCCGCGACGGCCGTTGGCAACGTCCGTGCCTGTCACGGTCGTTTGTGGAGGGACGTCCTTGTGACCCCTCCGCAGATGGATAGACGGACGTTCTCGACAAGGAAGGGACGTCGTTGTGACCCCTTGAGAAATGGCTGGACGTTCTTGGTGAGTAACGTCCCTGCCTGTCATGGCTGCGTTCGATTTGCGGAGGGACGTGCTTGTGTGTGACCCCTCCGTAAATTTAGGTTCTTGGCGAGGAATGTGCCTCTGTGTTACGGAAGGTTTTGCGGAGGGATGCCCTTGTGACCCCTTCGGACGTGCTTGTGTGTAACCCCTCCATGAACAAATGTAGGTTCTTGGCAAGGAACGCCCCTGTATGTTACGGAACGTCTTGCGGAGGAGCGTCCTTGTGACCCCCACTTCACGAACGGATAGACTTATTGGCGGGGAGTTGAGTTGCACGGCTGGAGATGAGGTCGACTACCTTTTGGACTCCTGTTCTTGCCAACCGACTGAAGTGCGAATGTGTGGGACCGTTTGCCTGCCGCGCAGCCGAAAAAAAAGGACTTGCCGCTTTTTGTGTTTTCTGCCCGCCACTCAGCCACCAAATAACCCTGCTCTCCGACCGATACTACTCGCCACGGATTTTGGCGAATGGCGAGTAGTGGAACCAGGCCCTTGTAGTGCCCACATTAATTAGGAAAAACCCTGCTTTCCCACTGATACTACTCACCAGGGATTTTGGCGAATGGCGAGTAGTGGAACCAGGCCCCCCTTTTAGTGCCTATCTTTCCGAACAAACCACGAAATGAGAGACCTTTGGTATTTCTAGGGTGATTGATCCTCTGAGTGAAGTTGAGGAACTGACTGTATACGGGCACTGTTTCGACTGAACTCTTAAGCCGGGACCAGTGGAGTTTGAGGAGGCCCTAAGGAGTTGTTTCTATTTTTAGTTTAAATGTGCCAGTATGCTAGTTGCCCACGAAGCACCGGGTATCATGGGCTTCTACCAGTGGTCTCCACCCGTTAGGTCTTAGATAGTCTGTGAATGGCAAGGTATGTGGTCATCGAGCTACTCTGTGAATGGCATGGTATGTGGTCATCGAGCTGGGACTGTTCCAAGTCTAGGTGTCTCTTTTACGAGCAATCAATCCGTCATCTGGAGAATCGGGCAATTATTTGGGATGGATGGGTCAAAGCACGCCGCCACGGAGTATGTAGGACATATTTCCTTGCCGGTTTGATGCTCTCAGTAGTAGGCTGTCTTAAACCCTGAGTTGCAACGGAGTTAAACGGATATTTGACAGGTGATCCAAGTTGCTTGTTGGAGCTGTGGCTAAGCGCTTGCTTGTCAAAAATAGCACTGTGGACAGCTGTATTTCTGCAGTTGCATCATCCGTCCGACCATGCGAACGGGTCAAAGCATGACACCATGCAAAGGAGAGAGGCATCGGACGCTTGTTGAGTGTTAGACATGCTTTCTTGGTATGTTTGTTTAGAATTTTCATGTTTGTTTCGTTTTGTTCTTCTCTGATTATCTCTGATTACTTGTCCTTTGATTGCTTGTTTGGATGTTTTATTTTGTTCGTCTATATGCCTCCTGCTCGCATTCCGTCCTGCACTCTTTTCAGCATTCGCCAACTCTATTCTCATATGGTCCCCCGTAATCCCGTCTTCTGATTATGCTAGATGCTTGTGCATGTGTGCTGTGCACACACACACACACACACGCACACGCACACGCACACACACACACACACACACACACAGAGAGAGAGAGAGAGAGAGAGAGAGAGAGAGAGAGAGAGAGAGAGAGAGAGAGAGAGAGAGAGAGAGAGAGAGAGCTGATGTTGAGTCTCTGTAAAACTGTGGGCCGGTGGTGGACGAATACGGAGGAGGAGAAGAAAGTTTATGTTTCGAGTCGACGTAGAATGGGAGGCAGCAGGCGATCGAGCATTTACGAGTGTTGTGTGGGGAATGCAGAAGTTGTTTAGGGCAGTGAGGAGGGCAAAAGACAATAGGCAAGTGCGGCCTGGCGGGCCATGACGATCCAGAATACTATGGACAAAAGAAGAAGCCAAAAGGAGAGGCTGCTCCTGGGAAATGCAGTTGGGTACATCTTGATGAGGGACACATTTGGCCTTGGAAATGAGCGGAAGTGAAGTCATGATGGTTGGCGGGCAGGTGGTTTTCCTGTCCATGCATTTTATTATTTTCGATACGAAGACGGAAGGCAAGGAGTTTGTGGGGTTTTGAATTTGCAACCTCGTCTTCGTTGGGAAGTGGGAAGAGCAACAATGGAAAAGGTAATGGAGGTACAGAGGGAGGGAGGGAGTACAAGGCGAGAAGGAAAGAAGGAAAAGGGGCAGAAGGAGGGCTCGAGGTGCCGTGGAGTGTTTTGTGGACAAATCGTTGGATTGGACCCCTAACGACATTCTCAACGTCTGGTGTTTTGGGACACGAGTGTACGGGCTTGCAGACAGTAATCGCAAAACAGGAAAGCTATGGGGAAGAAGTCGGCAGGCAACGAGTGGCTTGCAAGTGGCTGAGGAGGAGGTTGTGACATTGTTTTTTTTTTCTTGCGGGGCTTGATACAAGCGGTGACTGGTGACGACTCAAAGAGAGCAAGAAGGAGAGAGGCGACATGCAAAAGCAAGCGGAATGGTGAGGTCAGGGCTATGGTGCACATTATGGGGCTTTTGCACATGTAACTGCATTTGCAAGGGGAGAGAAAAGAGGAAGGCTACGATCATGGGCCGCCTCTTTTTTTTTTTTCTTTTTTTTTTTTGACCGTTTCATCGATTCGCTTGTGAATTTTTTCTATGCTGGTTATCTTTCTTGCAGTGACGTGGTCGATGGCGCTCTTCAGCCGGTTCAGATCAGCGCACTGCACTCCACAATTTGTGTATTGGTTGAATTCCTTAGGACACTAGGAACTTGGATATTGAACAATCGGTTGCTGGTCTTTGCATAAGGTGCTTTAGAATTGGTGAATGACCGCGGCTTCAATAAGTGTAATTGTGTATTCTTAATCATTCTTAAACAGCATTTCGCCGAAGTCTTTTGTCTCTTCTCTCCTCCCTCGTTCCAGTTGTCCTTTTCGCCGTATTCTTAATCATTCTAGAACAGAGTACAACCATTTCTGCTACAGCATAGTAATCTGATTTGCAACAATGCTTTGTGAATGTGGTCTGAAATGTGTTGTGAAGCTTACGGGGTATGAAGGGATCCGGGTGCCAGTTGTTGTTAAAATACAGCCAAACCTTCTGGAAAGCAGTCCGGAAACAACAACAACAACAACAACAACAACAACAACAACAACAACGCGCATGTGCTATTTGCTCGTGTGGTGGTTCACGTAGCTCGGAACGATGTAAACCCACACTGGTTTCACATGGGGGAAAAGAAGGAAAAGAAAAGATGTGAAGTTTGTGTGAACTTACCCTTTCTGGTTCTGCACGATTGGACGAGTTTACTTCGGAGAGGTTTATCACGGTGCTATTGGACGTGGGAAGCTGCGTAGCACGGCGAACGAGTTTGCGCCCCTCCGCGTTCGCACGGACAGCTCGTGAATGTGTTCGGCTAAACTTTTTTTTTTTTGCGTAAAAAGAAAAATAGAAAGTTTTCTTTTCGGTTTTTGATTTTCGACTTACGTTTGGCTAAGAATTTGAACACAAGGCAGAAGTTGCTTGTATTGTTGTTTTACATGACATATGTTTTTTTTTCAGAAGAGTTTTTTTTTTTTTTTTAATATTTTTTCTTATGTTCACGTTCGGAGGGTTTTGGGCGCTAGTTCGCGTTCGGGTGAGAACATGTTCAGGTTCGCCTCCGAATGAGAACACGATGCTATGCAGGTGGGAAACTTATGTTTTTTGCGACCGCGTTTGTTCTCTGTGGCCCCAGTTTGTTCTCCGTGGCCATACAAGGGTGATGATGAAGGACATGATTTGGTTGGGGTTTGTGCTTGTTTACCTTTGGCGTCCGGTTTTGACAAGTCCTGGCCAGTACCCGAACTTTCAGGAGGCCGAGCCCAACGTTGATCAATCTGATCGGCGGCCGTCGTTTCGTTTCGGCCTCCTGAAAGGTTGGAGGCCGAGTATTTCGAACCGACAAAGGTACTGGTGGTTTAAATCAATTTGAACCTGATGATGATTATCAGGTAAGGGAGTGCTGTTCCATAGCCGCAAGGTAATCTACACCTTGTGGCTATGAGGTCTTGGTTGGAAGGTATTACAAGTGTGTCATGCAATTTGGTAGGGGATGTGTACCCAGTTGCCACACCGCCCCAGGCATTATGGTCCTTGGCTGCGGACGTCGCTGTCTGCATCAGCGCTGGTACAAAGGAATTATTTCTGTTGCAAGTCACTTAGAGCTCCCTGCTAAAAGAAAAAAAGAATTATTTCTGTTGCAAGTCGCTTAGAGCTCCCTGCTACTAAAAAAAAAAAAAAAAAAAAAAAAAAAGAGCTCCTTGCTACTTTTCCTCACCGTGAACTTTCCCTTAAACCACCACCTCTAGCTCCCCCAGGCGAACATTTGTGACGAAGTCGACCACTAATGCATTCTTTGGATGAACAGTTGTACTGGATGAAAATGGCTGATGACGCCATGGTGGCGGTTTGTTTCTTTTTGGCAGGTAGTGGAAGTCTGTGTCGCAGAAAACAGCCTTGCAGGCAGTGTGTGGCTTAAAACAGGGAAAAAAAAGCATGCCTGATTTGCCGTCAAGGATGGTGTGATTGAAGTATGCATTGCTGTGGCAGACTTTTCCTTTTATCGTTTTGGTTGTGTCTGGATTGGCGTCTGTTATGAATGTTTTCAGGGCCTGGTCTGTCTCTCTAGGTGCAACGACGGCTTCGGTGAAGATTGTGTGCGCTTGGTTTACCCTGTTATAATCCATGCATACTGGTCGCTTTGTTTGCGTTGCAAGGCTGCGTTAAAGATAATCCCTGCTTTCCACAAAGTCTCATGCTGCATCTCCCTGCCCTGCCTGGTGTTCTGCCTCCTTTGCGGGGTGTCATTGTGATTCAACGAAGCTGATGGGTGTGTGAGCAGTTGTTGCGGAATCACAGGAATGCTGGCCGCCATGCACTTGGCAGAAAAAAAAAGTACGAGTGAAACGTGGGAAGAGAAGAGAGCAAAAAGATTTAGACGGAAAGAGAAAGAAAACTTCAGAAAGGAGGGAAAAAAACAAAGAGAAACTGTGCACTGCCCCTTTGTCTCAGAACTTCTTACCTGTTGCGATTTGCCCGTCGTGAAACAGTTCCCGCATCCAATTTTTCATGTGAACAGCATTGGACACAAACCACGATTGATAGGGAAAACTTCACACCCAAAGTTGTAATGGAGAATTACACCAGCGCCCAGCGCACTCTATGGAAAAGGTAAAAAACTTTTGAAGTTAAAAAAAACCATGTCCACGTGGGTGCCTGCTTGGGTTGAGCAGCCCTCGACAAACAGCAGTGGAATTTGAACAGTATTGAGTCAGACCGCAGCAGTGATGGCTGCTGGCCGCCCTCGAACTCTCTCGTTTCAGGTGCAAAATAATAGTCTGCGACTTCCTGTCATGCAAACAAAACCTCGGAATTGAAAACTATTGTGGAACTTTTGCTACTGCCTTGGTAAGTTGACTGAGGCAAATTTTTTTTTTTTTTTTTTTTTTTTTTTTTGGAAAAGTAGTCCCCCGGCTAGGACGGCGTTGGACAGGAGCTGCGTCAGGAGAGAAGATGGTGTGAGTGGTGAGGGAGGGAGATGGCATGATGGGCTAGGGCGGGGAGTAGTGCAAGTGGAGAGGGAAGGACATGGCCCCGAGGGGTGAGGGAGGGAGATGGCGCAAGGGAAGAGGGTGGGTGGGATACGGCATTAGGGATGAGGGAGAGAGGTCGCTGAGGGAGAGAGGGCAGGAGATGGCACATGGGGAGGCTCGAGGGGAGAGGCAGATGGCTCAAGGGTACAGGGGGATGGCCAGAGGGTAGACGGCAGGAAATGGCACAAGGAGAGAGGGAGGGCGATGGTGCAGGCAGCGAGGGAGGGAGATAGCACAAGGGGTGGGGAGGGAGATAGCGCGGGGGAGAGGCGGTGAGGGCTTAAGGAGCGAGGGAGGGAGATGGTGCAAGGGGTGAGGCTGGGCGATCACACAGTGGGAAAAGGAGACAGATCGCATGAGGGGCGAGTGTGGACGTGGCGCGAGGAGAGGGGGGAGGGAGCGAGGGATATTGCACAAAGAAGAACAAGAAGAAAGAAAGAACAGGAAAAGAAGAAGAAGAACAAGAGCATAGAAGAAGAAGCGAGGGATGAGGGGGTTGGTGGCGGTGAGGTCGGCGTAGATGAACCGTGCTTTTTATTTTAGGTGGTTGGTTGCCCATTATGAATATTGCTATTCTCGGGAGCTCGACCGGGGGAGAAGGGCCCTGACCAGGTGACCTGGGCACTGTTCTGCGCGTGGTAGGGTGGCCTAGTCCACGGGGTGCGTAACCTGGGCAGAAATAGAAACAGCCCATATATACCTTGGACTAGCTGCAGGTTCGAATTCCGCCTGAGCCCAAGACTTGCTCTGCCTCAGTTCAAAGTACTCCAAGAACACATGCACTTTCTGATGAACTGAGAGGAGACACCAACCCGTTAACAGAGCGCAAAGCCTTAGACTACTATACAGAACGTACGGAAGTTTTGCAGCTCGGTTCTGTCTATCCGCCCATCCTTTTTTTCGTCCAGGTAGTACTGAAATTAAGCTCCGTAGAACTTTCCGGGTCTTCTCGTCCTTTTTGTTTCTCGCACAAACTGATGCTCAACAGTCGTAATTTTCGCGGAGAGACATCCCCAAGGAGCCCTTTTGACTCCTTTCTTGTAGGCTTCCATTGCCCTGACTAATGCTTTCACCGAAGAGTGGGATGCTCTTATAAGCACTGTGAGTCTGAAGGCTTCCATTGCCCTGACTAACGCTCTCACCGAGGAACAGGAAATGGCACGAAGTTTGGTCCAATTTGGTACACTGTTTGATCCAAATTCAGGCAGATAGATGAGGGGGGGGAGCAAGGGAAAGGAGAACAAGGGAGAACAAGGGCCGAAGAAGAGAAGAACCCTTGAACCGGATATGAAGAGACTGGTTTGAGGCAGAGCGATGATGATGATGATAACCAACCAGACACTGAAACAGGCAAGGGGGGGAGTGACAGCAGCAAGGCGTCTGCATCCCATGCCCCCAGCAGTGATGGTGATGATCCAGCAAATAGACCTCTCCAATGACTCAGGGACTATATGGACAAGGCAAAGAGAGAGCGGGAACACCTCTTTGACGTCCGCAGAGCCTGTATGAAGCACGTGGAAAAAAACCCAAAAAAGGGTTCGGTCGCGGGCATGCGGACGTCCTCCAATCAATACGAACTGCTAAAAAGCCAGAGGAATTCTCTGAGTACACTGCTTTCAGATATGCAGAGAAGAAGAGAGCCAGGGAACATGGGCTCAGTGACGAAGACATGGCTACCTCAGACTCGAAAGATGTGTTTCATGACCTGCGGCAGAAAAAATGGAAACCAACAATGAATAAAAGAAAAAAGGAAACAATACGAGTCAAACGGAGCCAGATGGAACTGGAAAGCCAGTACGAGAAGAACTGGAGCAGGAGATCGCAGTGATCGATGCCCAGGCCGAGACGCTCAAAATGTTCATAGTGGCCTACGATCCTCAATTCACCCCACACTCCGGCACATAGCAGAAGGCAAAGCCCCTCACAGATCTGCCAGACTAACCTTGATCCCCTCACGTGGTGCAATCAGCCAAATCTGCCGGACAAGCCTTGATGGGTACCTGCACACTCTCGGCGGCTCCATTTGTGGAAAAGTACTTCTTTGTTGTTGTTTTTTGTGATTGTTCGCCAATTTCTTTGACTACGATATTCAAAATTTTTGGATTCATTTTTAAGATTGAGAACATTCTCAATTGACTATGAAAAACTTTTCGGCTTTTTCGAAGACTCTTAGGAAGAAGAGCTAAGACTAACCTCGATCCACCTCACGTGGTGCAATCAGCCAAATCTGCCAGACAAGCCTTGATGGGTACCTGCACACTCTCGGCGGCTCGATTTCTGGAAAAGACAAAAGAGCGCCAGGTCGCCATAGATGTATGTGTCCATTGCAA